CTGTGGTCATAAATTACCTTTTTGACACAAACCTAGGACTGAATGCTGTGTATATATTTATATATAAATATATATATATGAGTGAAACCTTGTGAACTCTTTAATTAGAGTTTTCTTGTATAGTGGCAGAAATTTACATTTCTGCAAAAAGTGTAATGATGTACTTAATCATGCTAAACTTTTTATAAAAGTTTAGTTGTAAACTTAACCCTTTTTATACAAAATAAATCAAGTGTGTTTATTGAACTGATTGCTTGCTTTATTCTTTGGGGACCAACTGTTTGCTGGCTTTGATTTGTGTTGTGTTTTCCATTTTGTTTTTTTTTTTTTTTCTAAGTACTTAATACATTCTGTTATGAATTTAAAAAGTAAAAATTCAAGTATGTAGAGAATATAAAGAATAAAATTACCTGGCGTGAATAATTCTTGTAACTTGGAAAATCTTATTTGAGTGTATATTCCAAACTTCTAAGTGATCTGCCTGTAACCAGTGTGAAGGGAACTAGCAAAGGAGTTTATTATAGAGGGGATGCTATTGACAAAGTGTTTGGAAATGTACAAAAGCAGTTAATCCTGAGATGTTCCCATGGAGTATTGCCTCTTTCCCCCCCCCCCCCCCCCCCCCCCTCCCTCCGTCCTCCTCAGCAACGCCGCAAAAAAAAGGTTGCCCTTGGGGTTTTGCCCCTTTCCCCCCCCCCCCCACCCCTCTGGATGATTCAGTTCTCACTAGTAATGGCCCTGATCTGTTAATTTGTGTTCAGACTAATCGCTCAGAATTAAGGGTTGTGGGTGGTTATTAGTCCCCCACCTATTAAATTTCTCTAAAAAGGCTTTGAATGTGCGAGCTGGTGATGCGTTAACATGCGATCTAGAATGATGAAGTGACTGTTGCCTTTCCACACTGGAATTTTCATGCTTCCATGCAATATTTCAATGAAATGGGGTTTCTAATCAGTTGCAGCAGCTTCTCCGTATGACTAAGATACTGAGAATTGAGCTAAATCGCTGTTGTGTTACTGATTAAACTTTGGCTGCTCCTGAAGGGACTCTTTCTCCATAAGAATTAAATTAAGTTTGAAATAGGAGTCTAAATTCCTGAAAGCCAGTAACAGTTTATTTCTTCTTTCTCTTCTGCCCTCAGAAGCTATGCGCCATCCCTCGTTCAAGGGATGCTTACTGTGCCCCCTGAGTCCGCTGTTTGTCAGATGTGTTTAGTTGTCATAAGACAGTGGATGCAGGAACTGCGCCTTATCAGATGACATGCTAATTTAAGCTCACTTATGAACTTGCCTGAAATGGGAAGTTTAAGTTTTGAGTCTTACGTAGGAAGAGAATCACTGGCGATAGGAACGAAGGGAGCTTCGCGGATGCTCGGGGTGAGTACGGCGCTCTGGCAGGTGCCCTGCTTGGGGCCCGAGGGAGCGCGTTCGGGGTCCCTGGGCTCTGGGGGCTCCCCGAGTGAAGGGCAGGAGCCTCACCTGGGGCCAGTAAGACCTTCACCAGCAAACAGGCGGGCGGGGGTGCTGCGGGGCAGCAGCGGCTGCCTTTCCTTGCCCTTGACGCCAAATCCACTCACGTAGGCTGGGAGAAAGCCAGCTCTGATCTCTTAATACAGCGGCCTGCCCTGCCCGAGCAGAAGCGCACCCTCAGAGGACCCACGCAACCAGAAGACGAGCGGGGGGAGCGGGGGGGGGGCACCCAGGGGACGGAGCCGTGCCCCCCAGCCCAGCCGAGCTGGAGGGAACCTCGCCACGCAGCACACGCCGGCTGTGCCTCCCGTGGCCACCCAGAGCCCAGGGGTTGTTCCAACTTTCTGCAGTGAACGTTTAACCCCGGCAGCCCAGCAGTAAAATATTTCAGCGCTGCAGATCAGCACGCCTCCGTCCCTAAAATACTCCTTTTCGTGTATATTTTGCCTCACTCTGAACAGTAGCAGATTCGGGGTTCTAATCACGCTATTGCGATCTTCGTCCTCCCAAACAAGCCAAGGTAATCGCCACCCAATGTCTCCCTCAAAACTAATTTTTCACCCTATTGTCCATTTTAGGGTGAGACCACAGTGAGCATCACTATAAACCCACAGTCCAGTTTAAGAAATTAAAGAGCCGCAACAGTCAGATCATTGTAATTATTTTAAGATCAACCCCTTTAGAAACTAAGGCGTTTGCACTTTGATATTTTTAAGCTACAGGATGATTAACACGCTTGCAGAATGAAAACGATTTCCTTATCATGCGTAGCCAAAAGAGAAATTCACAATTTACAAGGCGTGGGGAGCTGAGCAGGAAAACAAACAAACATGTTTTTAAAAATGTAAATTAAGAAAGAAAAAAAATTTTTCCTCTTTCAGGATTAACTAATTCATCGTCTCGACAATGCGTTCCTACGATCAGAACTAGAGGCTTAAGCTAGGTGCTCTGCTTAGAGATCCACTCTCTGGTTTTGTTCTTTAAGGTTTTGTCGTTCAAAGATAAACAGCAAGGTCAAAGCTGAGTGCCCAAAGCCTTAACGTTAATTCTTGAAGTTTCCTTTAAGATGGGGGATTTCTTCACTCTATAGCATTGTCTCTCCAGAATACATCAGAAAAATTTGTGAAACGTTCACTGCTTTCCCTGGCTCGTTTTCTCAGTTGTTGCCAACAGTCCCCTTAACGGACTAGCTGAACGCAGCAGGTCCAGAGGACCCGTACTCAACTACGTGACAGCAAAATAGTTTTGGCAATAATCATACTGAAACACTGTAAAATCTTTTCAAGAAGGCCATGCATGAAAGCTGCAAATGCACCTATAGACACTTCCCCACGGGGAAAAAAAAGGGGGGGGAGCCAACAAGAGACTGAAGCGGAGTTTCCCCTCTAGAAGAGAGGTTTCCACACCTGGCTTTGCTCGTGTATTGCCCTTACCAACACATGGACCAGCCCAAGCCACCACCCTGCACCGAAACGTCTCATTTGGCTTTCCAGGGAACATCTTTGTATTATAAAGCACGTAACGCACTGCTGGTGGTATGTATTCGAGCAGCTCAGAAACCGGCCGTCTCACACAGGCGGGTGGTGGGAGTCCCTCCAGTCTCTCCCCAGGTAAGGGAAAGGCAGAGAGCGGCCGCCTGGGTTTTGTTTACTCTCCCCTGGGAAAACAGCATTGTCTCTATTGCACCAAAACCAGTCACAAGCCACCTCAAGCACCAGTGCCAACATTTTGACAAAAGCCATTACCGAGAAGGCCGACTGGAAGCTAAGCCAGCACGTACCTGTGCGCTGCCCGCGCTCCGGGCCGCTCGCCCCCAGGGCTGGGCACAGAAGGCAGGCGCCGCTCAGCCCGCCGCGCTCGGGGGCTGCAGGCAAGCAGAGGCGTGGGTTCGCACGGGTAAAACCGCCCGGTCCTTCACCTCTTAGGAACACAGAGCCCAGGTCTTCCATGGACTATTTAAAATCACATTCTGTGGCTGCTTCTGGGAAATGATGTTTTAGCCAATTCAGCTCTGCTAGCTGGGAATTTCACTCCTAAGAAGTAAAGTGGTTGGTAAAGATCTGAAGGAAAAGTTGCATTAAAATAATAAATGCTTCGCTTGCACTGGTACGGGAGAAGCATCATTTGATTAGCACTAGTTTGTATTCGACTCTGGAAAGTAAAA